TATATATATATATATATATATATATATCTATATATATCTATATATAGGAGAAGAACAAATTATTCCCAAATCAGGAGAATAAGGCCGATCCATTCATAACTCTAGTTGACGCAATTTCTCATACCCCTATAAACCCTAAACCCTACATCCCAAACCCTCAATCCGGAACCGAAACCCTGGAGCCCCAAAAGCCTAAACTCTGCGAAGCAACACGGTCTTTGACGGGTGCCTTGCTCAAAGCTCACCTCCCTCAGGTTCAGCACCGGGCACTTCAACTGCTGCGTAAGGATCGCCTGCGCTCCAGTGTTCTTGGCTGTAGCCCTAAACCCTAAACCCTAAACCCTAAACCCCAAACCCCAAGCCCATGAGCCGGTCCTGAGGCAGACCCTGTGACTTCGTCTGCAACCTCACGTTGGCTGTCTAAGCTGGAAATGCCCCATGGTCTTGAGTAAGTCCTGGAAGATTCTCCATGACGTACGCACACACATTCACTCCCTCCCTCCCTCACTCCCTCACTCACCCAGAGAATCGAAGACTCAGGCTTTTGCGACGGACTGCGGTTTCCAAAGGGGCCAGACATTTTCAGAAGCAGGCAGGTGGACACCGACCCATAACGTTAACAGTCAAATTGCCTCAGCCCTAGAAGCCAACCCTAACTCTAAACTATGTTTTTGTGGTGTTTTTTTTTACCTTAAGCCGGCGAGGGCCTCCCTAGAAACCACCTACACAACTTGAAAAAAGAATTATGCCAGGGGTTTAGGGTTTGTAGGGTTTAGAGAGTAACTAAGGGCAAACACACCCTTTGCTACCACACTGGGTACTAATTGGCACCCCCAACCCCCGAAACTCAAGAAGCCGCAGGCGCACCTTCCTCTTCTCGCGCATGATCTGAGCGAGGCGGGGATGCGCAGGGTTTAGGGGTTAGGGCACATAGGGTTCAGAGGGTTGAGGGTTCTGGGGTTCTAGGGCCGTAAGGCTTAGGGTTCTAGGGTTTTAGTGCTTTGGGGTTTTGGGGTTTTAGGGTTTAGGGCTTTCGTTGTCTGGACTTCAAGGGTTTAGGACCATCCCTGCAAGCAAATGTATTCCCACAGGGTCCATGTACCTTATTGTTACATACTTGGGCCTTAAAGTGCTTCCTACATAGGGACTTCGGAGCCCAAGTATATAATAGTGAGGTACATGGACCCTTAGGGTATTTACACGGTTTTGGTTTTGAGGGTTGGGGGGTTACGGGAAACGCGAAGCCCGAAATCCCACAAATCTCCCCCCAAGTTCCCCGGGCTGCTAGTGAAGGAACGCACGGTGGCGCTACGATGATCTTCTGGATGCAAAGGGTCTAGGGTTTAGGGTTTAAGGGTTTAGGGTTGAGGGTTTAAGGTTTAAAGTTTAAGGTTTAAGGTTTAAGGTTTCAGGTTTGAGGTTTAAGGTTTCGGGATCAGGTAGAGGTACATGGACCCTTGGGGGAACCCAATCTTTGGGCTTTACACCCTCAGCTCCGAAGACCTGAACTAGAAAGCCTGGAACTCAACCCCGCATCGTCGGGGTTTGGGTTTTAGGGTTGATCCCTAAGGGTCCATGTACCTCATTATTATATACTTGGGCCTTAAAGTAATTACTTCCTATATAGGGACTTTGGGGCCCAAGTATATAATAGTGAGGTACATGGACCCTTAGGGGTTGATGAGTGTAGGGCGATCCGACGCGCCACTTTCAAGACACTTTCTGTCTGCGTGGCTTGTTGGCAAGGATGGCGAGAGACAAGGCGCCCCATAAAGCCGAAATTGCCTGAATCCTATCAGTGCAAACCCGCAGCCATGTTCTTATTCAGGACCGCCGCCTGAGCCCAAAATGTCGATCCCGTATCTTCGTAGCTCAAGCAGGACAAAGTTCGTGTTTGCCCTAAGGGTCCATGTACCTTATTATTATATACTTGGGCCCCAAAGTCCCTATATAGGAAGTACTTTAAGGCCCAAGTATATAATAATGAGGTACATGGACCCTTAGGGTTTGTAATTGAATAAGACCCACACTTTTCTTGCGCCAGGTATGGGGTAAGAGGGGAACCGGGCAAACGCCTGCCAGGGATTTAGGGCTTCTAGGGGCTCAGAGCTTATCGGGATTTAGGGCTTAGGAGCACTGTAAACCTGACCTCCCCCCTCCCCCAAAAAAAAAATGCGAAATGCTCTCCACCAAGCTGCTTTCGACCTGGGATGCGAGGATTGGGTTTAGGGTTGAGGGTTTGAGGTTTCGGGTTTCGGGGTTTTGGGTTAAGAGTTTGGGGGGCACTGGAGGGTTCAGGGTTTAGACTTCTCGGGCTCAGGGTTTCGGGTGTGCAGTTTAGGGTTTCGGTTTGAGGGAGCACCATGAGGGAGTTAGGACACTGTACATCCGAAAGTCGCGCTTTGGGACAAGGCAGAGCCGTGCCATAGGCAGAGTCGGGGACGCACCACTGCAAGCTGTCGGGGTGTCAAGCAGCATAAACAAACTCCGCAGAGTCTCACAAGTTCCCCTCTGCCCTAAACTTAAACCCTACACCCTAAGCCCCCAGACCCTAAACCCTAGAGTTGCCAAAGCTGTGTCCTACGCCCTAAACTCAAAACGGCATGTTATGGCCCTAAACCCGAACCCCTAAATCCAGACCTTACATCCGAAGCCCATTTCAACCTTGCACCGGACTCCCTCAAACCCTCATGCTCAGGCTCAGGGTTAAGATTTTAGGGTTTAGGGTGTAGGGTTTAGGGGGGGGGGGGGGGGGGGGGGGGAAAGGCGGGCTTGATGTTGTGGGTCTTATCGGGCTGGTTTTGCTTGCCGTTGTGTTCGGTCTTTTGGGCTTGCTTAAGGTTTAGGGTTGCTGGGTTTTAGGGGGCCTAAGGTTGACAGACCCTACACCCTAAACCCTAAACCCTAAACCCTAAACCCTAAACCCTAAACCCTAAACCCTAAACCCTAAACCGGGGGTCGGGGTTTCCTCGGGTTTACAGGGTTTTACATGGTCTAGGGCTCAGGGCTTGCGGGCGAAGAAGGTTTGGACGTTCGGGAGCCAAAGGGCTTGTTGGCCTGCTCCATATCCCTCGAGGCTCCAGGCAGCTCGAACAGCTTCTCCTCTGGGTTTAGGGTTTCGGGTTCAGGGTTTAGGGTTTAGGGTTATGGGCTATGCTCTCTCTCTCTCTCTCTCCCTCTCTCTCTCTGTCTTGGCTGGCGGATGCTGTGGTTTCATGGTTTAGGGGACCGCAAACCCTACATCCTAAACCCTAAACCCTGAACCCTATAAACCCTAAACCCCAATCCCTAAACCCTAAACCCCGAACCTTAAACCCTAAACCCTAAGGTCGGAAGAGATTGAATGTTTTTCTGCAAATGGCGGAAAAGAACAGACAAGGACTCCGGTTCCGGGGGCCTGTCGCCCCTTAGAGGTTCACGGGCAGTCGCCACCTTATTTCTCTTGTCAGGTCCCGAAGATGGGATCCCGCAGTTGAAGCCTTACGTGAGGGTTTAGGGTTTAGGGATGTGATTTCCGCCTCCCTAAACCCTAAATAAACATCCCTAAACCCTAAACCGCCCACTTGTAGTGGGAGCTGGAGAATGCTTTGAGAGCCACCGAGGCTTACAAAAACGCTGCCCAGCAGACAAGTCCGATGCCGAATCCGGGAGCCTCAAAGGTCCTGCGGCCCCCAAAAAAGATTGGAGGCGTGTGCCAAGCACGTCCCCGGGGTCGTGTTATCTACTCAGCAGCTAAGTTACGCAAAAAAAACTATGCAGTCCCTAAACCCTAAACCCTAACCCTAAAGCCTTACACCCAAAGGTTCACTCTAAGCACTTGCCGTGAACACGATTTGTGGTTATTCTAAGGATCCCCCAGCCCGCAGCCGGACTCAGCCGGCTTAGGGTACCAACGTAGGGCTCATAGGGACAATTCGGGTTCAGGGTTCAGGGTTCAGGGTTCAGGGTTTAGGGCTTCGGGTCTCATAGGGTTGGGTCTAGGGTGTAGGGTTGAGGGCTTCCTGTTCTGATCCGATGGCTTGTAGTTTTAAGGTGGCTCCTCCGTCAACTTTTGCGCCTTTTCGCGGTCCTGGCTCGGGCACTGACACAACCAAAAAGCGGGTCATCATCATAGTGCCCATATGGGTAGACACGTAGGGCATGACAGAGGGTAGTCTGGTGGTGATGCCAGGCCAAACCTAAGAAAACAGGGAACAAGCGATTTCAGAGCACCACAGCGTGAGTGAGCGACAATAGGCGCTCTGAACAGTCGTGTTTGTATCTATTACGTTTGCAGGGGCAGCCCCTCCAAACCCTGCAAACCCAACAAACCCTACACCCTAAACCCTAGAAGCCCCTTAGGGCCATCCCACACATCCCCAAAAAGACCTTCACGGAGAGCAACACTCCCAACAAGACACGCCCAGGCACCCCAACCTTAGGCTGCAGGGTTTAGGGTTTAGGGTTTAAACCCCAAACCCCAAACCCCAAACCCCAAACCCCAAACCCTAAACCCTAAACCCTAAACCCTAAACCCTAAGCCCTAAACCCTAAAGCAGGGCTCAGGGCGACGCAGCCCTTATAATTAGTGCTTGAAAGCCCCTGCAGAGGCCTAAATGAAAGAAACAAACGCGGAACCCAAAACTCTAGCTAACCAAACCTACGCCCTGGGACGGGGGTAGGTCCAGGCTTTGGGGGGCAGGGGTGGGGGCACAGTCTCGGAGTTGTGCGAACATGACGGGTCTAGGCTTCTTCGGGCTTACCCTGAAGCCTAAACACCTACATCAGAAAGCCTTGAACCCCGTAAGTCCTGAAACATCATCGAAAAGGAGTCAAGCCCTCGGCCCCAGTTGAGTCTTGCTGGATACCTGACCAAGAAGGGATCAGATGAAACCCCAATAAACAAAACATCTACACCGCAAACCCCAATCACACTAACCCTAAACCCTAAACCCTAATACCCTAAACCCTACACCCTAAACCCTAAACCCTAAACCCTAAACCCTACACCCTAAACGGTCCTTGGAGGCTTGGGCGATGTCCTGGTCGCTGAAATGCTGCCAAAGTGTATCCTTGACAGAGGGTTTACGGTTTAGGGCGCAGGGTTTAACCTAAGGGTCCATGTACCTCATTATTATATACTTGGGCCTTAAAGTACTTCCTATATAGGGACTTTTGGGGCCCAAGTATATAATAATAAGGTACATGGACCCTTAGGGTTAACCTTGAACCAGGAAATCGACATCCTAAAAGGGACTATTCAAGTCCGAGTGCGGAGAATATTGTTGAGGCCCCTGTAGTCAGTAGAGTCGAGTGGGGGTAGGGCTTCCGCCGCAAGAGCGCTAAACATAGATTTGGGGTAGAAAGTACCCTAAACCTTGAACCCTAAACCCTAAACCCTAAACCCTAAACCCTAAACCCTAAACCCTAAACCCTAAACCCTGCTGTGAACTGCAGCTTGGGTGCGGCACCCGCCTGCGCTCCGGTGACGATTCCATCCAACAGCCACTCAGTCGGCGGAGCCTCCGCGTCTCAGGGTTTGGGGCTTGGGGTTTAGGGTTTGGGGTTTGGGGTTTAGGTTTAGGGTTACGGGTCTCCTCCCTGGTACTGTGTGCCCATGTGAGGTTAAGGGCTTTTAGGGTTTAGCATATGCGCTGTCGAATATACTCAGGGGCCTGGAGCGGTTGCTGCGGCCGAGGCATACACTACTTGAGAGACACGGGCTTTGAGGGCGTGGGCAGTACCAGGTTTAGGGTTTGGATTTTGTAGAGGGATCACAAAACCCCTAAACCCTAAACCCTAAACCCTAAACCCTAAACCCTAAACCCTAAACCCTTGAGTCCTGAGGCCTGTGGCCCTTCGGCACCTCAGTTGCCGCCTTGTCAAACAAAGGCCTAAGACACAATCTGATACTTAGTTGCTGAGTTCAGAAATCCCAAAAAGTGTACGCCTTCTTTAGGGGACTATAGTATCCCAAAAAGTGTAAAGCGTGCTCGCGCAGCTACTAAGGATACTTGGGTTGGTGCTTCGATGACCGAGGTCGTACGAGCATCCCAGCGTCTTGCCGCCATACCGAATTTATCCCCATGGAAGACAGGATCTTCCTCATCTTCAACAATCCCACACCCCAGACCCAAACTCAAAACCCCAACCCCCCCTAAATCCCTAAACCCCTTAAACCCAAAAACCCCAAACCCCAACCCTATCTAAACCCCAAGGCCCGGGGCTTAAGATTGAGGGTTACTATTGTTATCATTATCATCATCATCATCATCATGATTATTATTATTATATATATATATATACACATATGGTTGCCTCTTTGTTTTTTTTTTTTTTTTTGGGGGGGGGGGTGTTTGCTCTAGGGGGGTTGCAGCATCGCTCTGATCCCTTCACTTCATTCTCACTTCCCCAAACCATGCCTAGAGCGAACTCCACCGGGCAACATCGGCGGGTTTAGGTTTTAGGTGTCAAGGTTTAGGGTTTAGGGTTTGGGGTTTAGGGTTTAGGGTTTAGTCTCGCCTTGTATCTCCGCGCCAGCCGCTCGCTGGCGCGCTCCGCGAGGAGGGGCTCCTCCAGCGACCGCCTGGTGCTGGGCTATCAGGGTTTCGCGGCTTCCTTGGACTTTAGCCCTGAACTATTCCGAGAGCAGGCAATATATGTATATATACATCTTATATATATATACATATACACATATACACATATACACATATACACATATACACATATACATATACATATACATATACATCTCTCTCTATATATATGTATATGTATACATATGTATATATATATATATATACATATGTGTATATGTGTTATGCGTATATACATATACCCTCAAAAGATAGCTTAACACGTACATCTCCCTTTTCCAAGGGAAACGTGGGTTAGTCCAGGTATCGCCGAAGTAAAGCTTGAAGAGAGGAGAAGGAAAATGGGGTGGGCAGTTACTTGGGCTCGCGGACGTCAGCTAGAAATGGGGTTCTAAGTGGGGCAGCTGTAGCTACAGTTGGCAGAAACCTTACCCAATCCTTGCTTAGGTGATGGTTATGACCCTACCCACAAAATCCCATGAATCTTCAAGTGGAAATCTCTTGTTCTTGGGGGTCCACCCCACTTGTGGGTTTTGCAAAGAGACATTCTTACATCACAATAGAGACCCATGCTGCAATCCAAGCAATAGACCTAACTAAAGGATGTTGAAGTCTCTGGCTAAAAACATCGTCCCTAAAACCCTTCAAACCCTAAACCAGTGAAGATGGCGTTAGGGGGCTTGAAAGTCGAGGCGGAATTATATCTTGCGGTGTACGCGGAAAGAATCGAAATTCCAGCCACAGCTTCTGACTCTCTGGCTTTCCAACATTGGCAAATACTCGAGTCAGCCGCTTGGAGAAGTAGATGGATTTCCCAGATGCTGTGATGCAGAATGGGAGGAGAAAGCAGGTGCGCAGAATGCTTGCAACCTTTTGCGACAATCCCAAACACAAAACAGAGGCTCCGAGCAGCCCTGCATCCCACACTGGCTCTGTGTCTGTCTCTGTCTCTGCCTCTCTCTTCTTTCTTTCTGTTTCCCCATTTGTTCTTCATACTTGGTAGGTACGTGTCTTCATCATGATCCAAGAACCTATTGCCATTTGACCCCCTTCGCAGGGTCGCTGGAGCCCAGCCACCCAACAATATCCAGATCGGAGGTCCGAGCAAGAACCAACCAAGGTCAGTCACCAGGGCGTACGCTGCAGAATGTCGCTGCAGGGCTCACCTAGAGTGACCTCTACACCCTTTCAAAAGGAATATGAATCTGCTCTATTTCCTGTGTTAGAAGTATACAGGTCACCGTCGGCAAATTCAGGGTTTGGGGTATGAACCCTAAACCCTAAACCCGCTAAACCCTAAATTAGATTTCATGAAGGCATCGCTTCAGCCCCAAAATTTGTGTGGGCCTCTCGAGCGAGAACTTCGATGCTCGAGCTCGCCGGGCCGCATTTGCAATCTCCTCGGTCTAGGGTTTAGGGTTTAGGGTTTAGGGTTTAGGGTTTAGGGCTTAGGGCTTAGGGTTCAGGCTTGGGGTTGAGGGCTCAGGACTTAGGAGTTGAGTGCTCGTTCCGCGAGACTTAAGACGACTGCGACAAAGGGTCACCGGCTCGGCTTTGCCCTAAACCCCAATAAACCCTAAACCCTAAACCCTAAACCCTAAACCCTGAACCCTAATTAAACCCCAAACCCCAAACCCTAAACCCTAGACCCAAAACCCTAAACCCATCCCTGGACTGGTCCATTGCACACTGTAGCCTCGAGTCTTCCACCGCATATATATATATATATATATATATTGTGGGGTTCATATATATATATATATATGGATGGATGTTCCCCCTTATGCTAACAGTCCTAAATAGGGAGTATAGGCTTTAGGGAGTATAGTACCCCCTATTATAATCCCAGCTAAGGACTGCTAGTACAAGGGGGAACATCCCAACCTATAAAACCTAAAACTGTGACCCCTGATGGATGCATCTGTTCCATCTACAACTCTTCCGCGTTCTGAATAGGAGCTTGGGAATCAGGTGCCCCCTTTACAGCCACCCTGTACTTCCCGAAGCCACCAACCCTGCATGCACGTGGCCGGCTGTACAGCATCCCTTGGGGTCCCAAACTCGGGTTTAGTTAGGGTTTAGGGTTTGGGTCCCGCCCTCCCTGTAGGTCCCAAACCCTATATGCCCTACATGTAAAGTCCCGAAACCCCCAAATCAAACAAACATGTGCCGGAAGCCAACTACCCCCCCCCACCCCCCACCCCCCCTGCCGCTCCCCGCCCAAAAGCACCCTGAAGCCTAAGCCCTAAACCCTGAGCCCTAAAACCCAAAACCAACCCCCCCCCCCCCAACCCCTAAACCAACAACGGCCAGAGACCCTACTTTGGAGTAGACCCTGCAAAAAAGTATTTACTTTTTAGGTATAAGTAGCGAAACAATAGGAACCCAGACCAAGACAGG